AGGAGGCGGCGCGCCTGGCGGCTCTGGTGCAGCGCGGCCGCCTCATGCAGGAGGTGAATCGGCAGCTACAGGGTCACCTGGGCGAGATCCGCGAGCTCAAGCAGCTCAACCGGCGCCTACAGGCCGAGAACCGCGAGCTGCGCGACCTCTGCTGCTTCCTGGACTCGGAGCGCCAGCGCGGGCGGCGAGCCGCTCGCCAGTGGCAGCTCTTCGGGACCCAAGCATCCCGAGCCGTGCGCGAGGATCTAGGCGGTTGTTGGCAGAAGCTGGCCGAGCTGGAAGGCCGCCAGGAGGAGCTGCTGCGGGAGAACCTGGCCCTTAAGGAGCTCTGCCTGGCCCTGGGCGAGGAGTGGGGCCCGCGCGGCGGTACCGGCGGCTCGGGGGGCTCTGGCGCTGGGCCGACACCCGAGTTGGCCTTGCCCCCCTGCGGTCCCCGTGACCTGGGCGATGGAAGCTCCAGTACCGGCAGCGTGGGCAGCCCCGATCAGTTGCCCCTGGCCTGCTCCCCAGATGATTGAGGGCACAGCTTCGCGCCGACGCCCGCCCCGATTGCTCCTCCAGCGCGGAGATTGCGGTGGACCTCGGCACCCGGACGCCGCCCCCGCTGCGCACGAGGGGCCGCTGGCATGGACTTAGAAACCCTAACACTGAGGAGGGCCCCTGGCGCTCGCTGGCGGGGCAGGAGGGGGACTGGAGGCTGGAGCGGAGGGACTTGCTGGGGGCTGGGTGGAGGCTAATAAACTGAGGCGGAAGCAGAGCCCATGGCTGGGGCAGCGTCTGTTTGGGACTCGCCGGCGGTGGGACGAGGGCGGGGACGTTGAGACTGGGTACCATTCCCATCTGGAGGGACTGCAGAACTAAGGTGGCTGACTCCCCCATTACTTGCATCCTGGGGCGGGATGTGGGACCATGGTAAGCCACTCGCTCCCCCCATCAGGCCCCAGGACAGGCCATAATCCAGCCCCTGAAGTGGCTCCAGCTCCCTTCCCGGCTCCTTCCTGTCCAAGACAATGGGGCAGGAAGCAGGTGTTGGGGGCCTGAAACCCACTCAACCGCCTCCGGGGAGGCTGGAAGGGGCATAACAGTGCCCTCCTGTGGGAGCGCTGTGGGCCCCCACCAGGAGGAGGATGGTAATCCTCTTGGCTTGGCACCTCACAGCACCTCTGTTCCTCCCCTCAGTTCTGGAGCTGAGGCAGAACAGATGTAGCCTCGCTTGTCAGATAAGAAAATCAAGGTCCAGAAATATCAAAGAATTTGTCCAAGGTCATGTAGTGAATTGGTGGAGCTGAAATGGGAGCCTAGGGCTTCTGGCTCCAAATCTTCTCCCTTTAGCCCCTGGGTCGAATGAGAGCAGGCTAGAGCTGCAAGCCTTTTATTCCATTTTGGCAGGTTTGTATAAAAATACTCTCTTTAGGAAAATAAATAGCAGCTGCCCACGCTGTGGAGGCTTGGAGCTAAAGTCTTCTCAGAGCTGGGGGCTGCAGGTCAGCTCATCACAGAAACCTCTGGCACCCTCCTGAGCTGTTCCATTTAGGAGGGGCTGGCAGAATGTCCTGGTTCAATAACCTGGTGCTGCTGGCAGTGGGGCTGGGTGAGTTAGTGTTCTCGGCGGGTAGAGCATCACCTCCTGTCAGGGGTAGGATTGGGTGAATCACAGGAAGAGGGTGATGATGGCTATAGGGGTGATCTGCAGGGGTTTAGGGCTCCAGAGGACCTCCGAGAATCTACAAAGTCCCTTGGGAGCTGCCCGGAATTTTCTCCAACAAACAGGAACCACTTTGTCTCTGACTTAGTGCAAATTGTGCTAGAGAGGCCAGCTCTAGAGAAACAGTGGGCAGCTTTGGTAGCCCCAAGCTGGCACTACCAGGAAACAAAATATGCCCAGTCTCATCTGGAGGGATGGAGAAGAATCTGCTGGGGTTGGACATGAGATATGGTCCAGGCCAGCTGGACCAATGGGCAGGGAAATATTGGTGAGGGTAGCACCCGCAGGGAGTGGGGGCTGGAGTGCCTCATAAGGCCAGGAGGGTTGGGGAGCCAAGGGGGTCAGAAGAGGGGTCCCCACTGCTGCTGCTACTCCTGCGGTGGGCTGAGGCACAGGGCTCCGGTGTGCTGGGGTAAGTGAAGACCAGACTGGGGGTGAAAGGAGTCAGGGAGGGTGTGGTCATGAGCGTGGGAGTGTGCAGTGCTTCGGGTTCAAGCACAGGCCCTGGGGAAAGGGAGATACAAGGCACAGGGCGGGAGGGGGCTGGTGGGCTGCTGGTGCCACTGGTACCGCCTGTGCCGCTGGTTTCGCTCTCCTTGGCCCCTTCCGGGATTTTGCAGATGGGGCGGTGGGCTTCCAGCACCAGCTCCAGGCGCTCCTTCTGTTTCTGCAGCTCCTCGATCTCTCGCTGCAGCCCGGATTTCTCGTCCTCCAGTTTGTCGGTCTCCTGTGGACGATCAGGAGGGCTCAATACCGCGGAGCCTCCCGCTGTGGTAGTGTTTGGAAGGTTGGGGCGCGGAAAGTGGGTGGTGGTGGCGAGGGGGCGGTGGGGGGTGGGGAGTCTCCAGCAAGTCTGGACTACAACTCCCATGAGTTGATGGGAGAAGATGGGCACGACTCCCATCAGGCTTGGGGGGCATCTTCGAAGGACATTGTCGGTCCCAGCTTCAGCTCTTCTCTGTTCAGAGAGAGACGCGCTGCAATTAATTTTTAATCACATTTTCCTCGTCGGAGTGCGCCTCCGACAGGGAGCCGGGGTGGGTGGGTGGAGGGGACTTCATATACCGGCGCCCCCTGCGGCCCCGCAGGCTCTTGGGAACTGGGGGCCTTCTGAGGTTGGGTGGGCCGGGACCTGGGCGCCCTCCGCACTCGCCGGTGCTCACCGCCTGCAGGAAGTCGGTCAGTTCTTTCCTCCGGTTCCTGCACTTGGCCGCGGCTAGCTTGTTCCTCTCGCGCCTCACTCGACGGCGTTCCTCCTCCTCGGGGCTGATCTGGGGAGGGTAGAGAGAGCAGTGAGGTGGACTCTGTGCTGCTGGCCCAGTGGTAAGAGCCTGGCCGAGGCCATGACAGCGCAGGGGCGCCCTCAGGCTGCGTTTTGGGACCTCCGCACCCCGACCGGTTCCCTGCTTTAGTAAGCTTGGATGAGTCATATTTCCTCCTCGCACCCAGCTTTTGCCTCCTATGACTCCTCTCGGAATGCCCTTCCCGTCCTTTTACAAACCTTAACCCTCCTCCTCTCCCAGGACTCAGCTAAGATTCCCCCACCCAACCCCGGCCGTTCCTGGAAGCTTTCTCTCATTCCGCAGCTATAAGTGGCCTTTCCTCCCCTGAGCCTCTGGGACCAGGCCACTCTTTTTAAAAGGACCCTCATTCTTTTCAGTCTCTTGATAACCGAGTCTCCTCTTCCCCAGGGGCTGTAAGCACCAAGAGGGGCTAATGAGAGCTGCTAAGTAGTTTTTCATTGGGAATCTACTATGTGCCAGCTAAGAGCTTTACACAGATTCCTTTTTTCTTTTAATCATTTAAATTTTATTTTATTTATTTTTTTATACAGCAGGTTCTTATTAGTTATCTATTTTATACAAATTAGTGTGTATATGCCAATCCCAGTCTCCCAGTTCATCCCACCCCACATGCCCCCCCACCCCGCCACTTTCCCCCCTTGGTGTCCCTACATTTGTTCTCTACATCTGTTTATACAGATTCTTAACTCAACTTCTCGTGTAAGGAACTGACGCCCAGAGAAGACGAATAACTTGTTTGTAGTTCTAGAGCAGAAATTAAAATCGACTCACTCTATTTAACATTGAGAAAGAGGCCAGCTGATGGAGACCACCTCCCCCGAAAGGACCCCACTCACAGCTCACAGCCTCAGTCTAGGAGTACCCAGGATCATGGCTGAAGGAAGTCCAGGAGCCTGCCTCTGGGGCTTACACCATGGTCTCCTTCCAGTTGGTCACAAAAGCCAGCCATTCTGTTTCTGGGGAAGTCACCCCTGGCCGATGGCACATCTTTCTTAGGATCCTGACGTCCTCCCCATCCTCTACCCTGCTGTCAGAGCAAGCTCCTTAACGTGCAGACCTCACCCACTATAGTCTCAGATATCAAAATGCCCCAGGGATAGGAAAGCGGAACCACTCCCTAAAGACCCTCTAGCTCTTATTCATTTATTTTGGCACGGACTTTATTAGCAGTGTGCTGCTAAGAACCCTGGTTTGGGAGGTAAGAGTTCCCAGCTCTCTAAGCTTCAAGCCTTCTCTTAACCTCCTGGTGAGACAGTGTGGATTAGTGGTTACGATCTGACTTTAGAATTGGACAGACCTGTCTCATTACTCACTACTTGTGTGATCTTGGGCAAGTGACTACCTCTCTGTGCCTTCATTTCCTTGGCTGTAAAATGGGGAATACCAGAGTTCATTCCCAAGAGGGTTTTCGTGAGGATTAAATGGGATAGAGAAACAGAGCCTCAGAGAGTAGCTGAAGGGAACCCTCCTCTTTCTGTTCTCTTCCCAGCAACATAGACAGCATAAGCCCGCCCTCTCCATACCTGTCAGCAGCTGGAGACCCTCTACTGTCCACACAACTTTCCACACATACACCTTACATGTTCTCACTGCTACCTCCGTTCCTTCTCCTGCCATCCCCTCTTCCTGGAATGTCATTTCTTTCATCTTTCTCTCTATTCAAATCCTACCCATCCTTCTAGGCCTGCAGGAAGCCTTCCTTGATCCAGAAGTGACTGCTTTGCCCTCTGGGTCTCCCCAGGGGGTCTCATCACTTTCTGTCTTGGCCAGTAGTCACCAGTGGGTCTGTTCTCCCCATGCCCCTTCTAAGCCTGCGTTCTGGGCAAGAGCTTATGCTCTGCACCTCAGCATCCCTGTGGGCACAAGAACCCGTGCAAACGCCACTGCTTCTTACCTGTTCACAGGGCCGGCGACGCACTGCTGGAGTTTGGCCCAGGGCCCGGATGACTCCTGGCCGGGGCTGTGGGGGACTGTACTGGGGGTAGGCCAGAGGCCTGGGGTAGCTGCTGGGTCCCAGGAAGTGAGGCTGAACCATCCACTGCAGCTCCTGGCTGCCACTCACAGTGTTGATGCTTGGCACGAGGTGGAACTTCTGAGGGATAAGACATGGAGGGCCAGGAATAAGGTCTCTGTGGATTGAGGGGCTTCCAGTAATAAAGTGTGAATTCCAGGTGCTGTCCCAACCACTTTACAAATACTGACTCATATAATTTGCACAACAATGTCTTCATTTTCTGACAGGAAAACAGTTGTCCCTAGACACACAGCCAATAAGTGGGAAGTGGGGTTTGGACCCAGGCAGCCAGGCTCTTCTTACCCACTTTTGCACCCTGCCTGAGTCCCATCTACATAAAGAGGATAATGACAGCCCCTAACTTCAAGGGTGACTGTGAGAATCAGGTGAGAGAATGTGTGTGTGACAGAGCCTGGTAACTGGCAGGTGCCCAACACACAGGGGCCATGGTGGGCAAAAGCCACTGCTCTGGGTTCAAGCTAGCCCAGTTCTAATCTTAGCTCAGCCATTTACTGGCTGTCAGGGCGAATTATTTAACTTCAATGTGCCTCCGTTTCCTTGTTTTTAATATTGTCATAGGTGAGGATTACAGCATTTCACTGATGCTAACAAGTTCCCTTCAGTAGCTCTGAAATCATAGTTGAATAGGCAACTTAAAAAAAAAAATTAGTGGCGCAAAATAATGGTGGGTTTTAAAATCAGTGGGGTCTTGGATTCTGTGAGGTAAAAGTAAATGAGGTGGAAACTGCCCATCACAATGCAAGGCTGCACAGTATGCGCTCCAGGTATTACCTGTCATGATACTTTCAGCCAGAAACGTGAGGAATGGGTTGAGATGGGGGCTCAGTGTTCCGGAGAACTGGGTTCAAGCCCAGGCAAGTCTGGACAGCAGTGTCCCCGGCTCAGCGCTGCGGGCCCAGTGACCCCAGTTCCGGGCCGAGGCGCCGCCGGCGGCATCTCCCGCTCCCGAGGTTGTCCGGGCCCGGGACGCTCCGGGCCAGGAAGGGAGGGGCGCTCCGGGTGAGTCAGCCACCGTGACTCGGCGGCCGTAACTCGGCGGAACGGACGCCACTCCTTCCCTCCCCTGGCGACACGTGCTCACGGCCCCTCGACAGGAAATGGGCACCTGCAGCCTCCCGGGTCCCCCCCCCAACCCTCAGCGGGCGCCGTTCGATGCCGAGAGTCGGGGACGCGGGAGTTGCCGCTGCAGGACCTCGCGCACTTCCGGCACCTCGCCGTTTCCACCGGCCCCAACCCGTAAAAGGGTCAAGGGCCAGTCTCCCGGGGCCCACCTGGCTCCACTGCGCCGAGATGGGGATGAGGACTTGGCGACGGGGTGGGGAGGGACAGACAAACGGTCAGGCACACGGATGATCACAGACAGACTGCCGAGGATTCGCAGTCTGTCGCGGCTAGCCTGGCTGTGGATCCGTGCGTAGGGACGTCTCGGCGGCCGCGGCTCAGACTCCGGACCTCGGAAAGTGAGTCCGAGATGGATCAGACCCTCTCTGATCCTGTCGGGGCTAGGACTAATTCCGGACTAAGGGGTCCCCTTCCGACGCAGATGGGACAAAGAAATTAGCGGTGAACAGGAAGAAGGAAAGAAGGTAACGGAGACGGAGGGACAGATAGACAGCAGACAGAGACGGGAAGGGGTACGAGCGCGAGAGAGGATGTTCGCAGATGTTTGCTCCGCCCGCCGCGCCCGTTCCGCTGGGGTGTGGGGGAGAAAGTGCCCTTAGACAGCGGAGAATGGGCAGAATCCGCTGCCACTGCTCCGAGACCCATTCCTTGCTCCTTGTTCCCGGTCGCAGTCCCCGAGTGTGCGGGAGCGGCCCGCACAGTCCCAGGCTCTGTCCACCTGGGGATCCCAGGCGTCGGGTTCCTCTCACCTGCTGGCCTGTCGCCGGGGGCTGCGCCGGGCCGCCGTACGCACCCCCGGCCCCGGAGCTCGGCCCGGGTTCCCCGTAGTCTCGGAACATGCCCTGGGCTGGTTGCTTTGCGGGGTCCGCGTCGGCGGCTTCGGTTCTGACTCACTTGCTCCTAGCGGAGTCTTTTCTTTTTATGAATGAGAAGTCCTCGGGCTGAACCACTTCCACTGGGGGTGGGAGCGGAGAGCGCGGTATCGCAGCGGCTCTGGACAACTCTGGGCTCCACCTCTCCAGACGCACTGCCTTTTGTCAGTCCGCCCTGAACTTTTCATCGCTTCCTACGGTCCAGTAGCCGACTTTTGTTGGGCAAAAGGGGAGGACTTGGCGGTCCCCAGAGACAGCGGCGGGTCCGCCCCCTCTGACGTAGCTGCCCATACATGGTGCAATTTCCTCGCCGCGCCCAGGTGGAGCGAAGGATTCCCCCGCGGACAGACGCACCTGAGAGCAGACGGGCGCCCAGCCCCGCCCAGGCCCCAAGCGCAGACCTAGACCTCCGCCGCCAGACTCCAGAGCCTCTCACTGCTTGGTCTGGCCTCAGTGTTTGCATCCGTAAAATGGGACGAAATAATCACATAGCGAGCTTGCCACACGTGGGAAGTTGGAATGAAGAATGTGAAAGGGGTCTGGAAACTGTAAATCGGATTATAAATGTGATTGATGTAATTATTATCATCATCATCATTTACTGCCAGGGACCGTGCTACTGCCATTATTTCATGCCAGGAATCGTGCTACTATCATCCAAGTCTTGGCGTGAGGCCCACTCACTTGCATTGTTTTAGGGTTCAGGTATACTAAAAAGTGAATAAATGACAAACCAGGGTTACCAAAATGGTGTATATTTTAAATGCTTACAATGACATGTTAATGCGTTGAACTACCCACAAATACAATGCAATATAATTGCACTACTCTCAGGATAATTTCAGGGGCTATAACAAATTTTAATTCAGAACCCCTATAAGCAGTGAGAGCCTGTGGTGGGACACAGTTGTCTTGTGCTCTGATAAACGCCATCTTCTTTAAATACTGTAACTGCTCTTCCAGGACTGCATAGACACCACCCTTGTTTGGGGATTAAGGTCTGTGTGAATGTGAGGCCAGGACCAAATGTCAACAACCAAAGACCAGCAACCATGGGAGGTAGGTGTCGTTATCATCCCCATTTTACAGACGGGGAAACTGAGGCTGAGAGATGTTGAAATGAGGTGCCAAAGATCACTAAGCCAGTGGCTGAAGCAGGTTGCCAAATCAGGGCTGTGGGAGCTCCAAGCCTGGGCTCAGGCAAGGGTTTTCAAAGCCCTCACAGACAGACATGTTTTCACACATGCACAATATCAATGCTGAGAGAACCACCCTGAAACTTTTTCTTTGCCTCTTCCCATTCTACAGATGAAGAAACTGAGGCCTGGAGAGAACGAGGAGCTGCCAGTGTCACACAACTACAGAGAGAGAGAGCTGGGCTCTCCTGCTTTCCACTGGTACCTCCTTTTTAAAAAATTGTTTATTTATTTATTTATTTTTGGCTGTGTTGGGTCTTTGTTACTGTGAGCGGCCTTTCTCTAGTTGCGGTGAGCGGGGGCTACTCTTTGTTGCAATGCGCGGGTTTCTTGTTGTCGTGACTTCTCTTGTTGCAGAGCACGGGCTCTAGGCGTGCAGGCTTCAGTAGTTGTGGCATGTGGGCTCAGTAGTTGTGGCTTGCGGGCTCTAGAGCTCAGGCTCAGTAGTTGTGGCACACGGGCTTAGTTGCTCCGCGGCATGTGGGATCTTCCCGGACCAGGACTCGAACCTGTGTCCCTTGCATTGGCAGGCAGATTTTTAACCACTGCGCCACCAGGGAGGCCCTCCATTGGTACCTCCTTTTGATCAGCTCCAGTTTTGTCCTCAGGGAAGGAAGATTTCAGGAAGGTGGGGACCTGGGCTGCCTTCCTTGGGGACAGACGTCAGGGTCAGTTGACACATTCAGGACTTAGAGCCAAGAGGCCAGCTTGGCCCTGGGCTTCCAGTCTCAGTACCACCATTTTCTGTCTCTGTTACCCTGGGAGGGCCACCTTCCTTCTGAGTCCCACTCCCAATGGGAATAATTGAGCCTCCTGCTGACCTCATGGGGTTGCTGTGTGATCAGATGAGATCACAAATGTGAAAGTGCTTTGCAGGCTGTAAAGTGGTGTGCACTCAGAAGGTGGTTACCAGCCTGGTGCCTCTCCCTTGCTCTTATTCTACTCAATGCTTGTCATTCTCTAAAAAGAAAAGGAACCACCAGCAGTTTACCAGAATGAGAAATATATGGGGTGTGTGTGTGTGCGTGTGTGTGCACGTGTGTGTGCGCACATGCGTGCATGAGGGAGAGAGAGAGAGAGAGAGAATTTTTGAGGCAGCGTGATTCATGGAAAAGAACAGATATGCTGGAATCAGACAAGCCTGAGTTCTGAGTTCGAATTCTGGTTAGGCTGCTCGCCAGCTGTGTGCTCTGGATGAGGCATACAATCTCTCAGAGCCTTATCTGTAAAATGAAGACATAACGATAACTATATAGTGATAACGTCTCAGGGTTGTCGGAGAATAGATATAAAATGATGTCACATGCTTCATACAGCATATAGTAAAAATTTGACAAATAGCAAAAATAATTACGTGTTAATAAAAAGCCCCAGGGCTGGGAGCTTTGGGGGCTCTGATCACATGCTAAGGTACTCATGCGCATGCACACACACTAACTGATATCTGAATTCCTTGGCTAAGTCCAAGCAGGACAGGTCAGAGTGACACAGGCAGCCAGGTTGTGGCACATGCGAGGCCTAACACAGGTCAGCCTTGACTGCATTCATCTGCTGGCTCCAGAAACACCACCCTACCCCCACTCCCCAAGTAGCCTGGGACAGTGACTGAGCAGGGGCTCAGGTTTCGTGTGTGTGTGTATGTGTGTGTGTGTGTGATTACATGACTCTGAAAGTCCCTTCCTGCTCTAACCGTCAGTGGAGCCACAGGGAGGTCCTTTCAGAGGCAGCACATTCCAAGCTCCTCAGTCACTAACGCCCGCCTCGTGGCTGCAGTAACGTTCCTGGCCCCTGACCTCACCAGCTCCCACCCAGGGAGGCCTGGTGAGAATCCCAGGGGGCCAAAGTGGCTTCAGGAGTCTGGGGGCTGGGAGGTCTGAAAGATCCAGGCATTGTCCCTTGGCAGCTGTGTGAGACTGGCTCAATCACTTTCCCTTTCTGAGCCCCTGACAATCCCCACCTCCTGGGGCTGCAATGAGGTGAAAGGAGGTGGTGGATGAGTGTGCCTTGCACCCAGTAGGTTCTGTCAATGCTCCCAGGGCATTGTAGGTGATGTTTATGTTTTCCAGTTTCTGTTCACTTTCTACACTGAAGTTTATTTAGTTTTAAAATTGAGGTGAAATTCACATAACATACAATTAGCCATTTTAAATTAATGTTTTGTTAAAGTCTTTTAATTAATTAATTAATTTTTATTTTTGGCTGCGTTGGGTCTTCCTTCCTGCACATGGGCTTTCCCTAGTTATGGCGAGCTGGGGCTATTCTTCGTTGTAGTATGCACACTTTTCATTGCGGTGGCTTCTCTTGTTGCGGAGCACGGCCTCTAGGCGCGTGGGCTTCAGTAGTTGTGGCTCGCGGGCTCTAGAGCGCAGGCTCAGTAGCTGTGGCACACGGGCTTAGTTGCTCCCCGGCATGTGAGGTCTTCCCGGACCAGGGATCGAACCCGTGTCCCTGCATTGGGAGGCGGATTCTTAATCACTGCGCCAACAGGGAAGTCCCTTCCTAGCCATTTTAAAGTGTACACTTCAATGGGATTTTGTGCATTCACGATGTTGTGCAACCAGCACTTCTCTCTAGTTTCAAAGCTTTTAAATTATCCCAGAAAAACACTCCATATCCATTAAGTAATGACTCCCAATTAGCCCCTCCTCCCATCCCCTGGTATCCACTAATCTGCTTTCTGTTTCTACAGATTTGCCTCATATGGACATTTCATATAAATGGAAAATTTATTGTACAATTTGTGACCTTTTGTGTCTGGTTTCTTTCACTTAGCATAATGTTTTCCAGGCTGATCAGTGTTGTAGCAAGTAGCAACACCTCATTCCTTTTTATGGCTGAATAATATTCAATTGTATGGCTATACCACAATTTATTTATTCATCAGTTGGTGGACGTTGGGTTGTTTCTACTTTTTGGCTATTATGAATAATGCTTCTGTGGACATTGTGTACAAGCTTTTGTGTGAACATGTGTTTCCATTTATCTTGGGCATATACCTAACAGTGGAATTGCTGGGTCATATGGTAACTCTCTGTGTAATCTTGTGAGGAACTGCCAGACTGTTTTACACAGTGGTTGTACCCTTTTACATTCCTACCAGCAGTGCCTGAGGGTTCTAATTTCTCTACATCCTTGCCAACACTTACTTTTTTCTGTTTTTAAAATACATCCTAGAGGGTGTGAAGTGATTGTGTCTCTTTTTCTTTTTTGAATTTTATTTCATTTATTTTTTTATACAGCAGGTTCTTATTAGTTATCCATTTTATACATATTAGTGTATGTATGTCAATCCCAATCTCCCAGTTCATCACACACCCCCACCCCCCCGCCGCTTTCCCCCCTTGGTGTCCATACGTTTATTCTCTATTCATTGTGTCTTGATTTGCATTTCCCTAATAACCAATCATATTCCTTAATGACCAATGAACATCTTTTCGTTTGCTTTTTGGCCATTTGTATATATTTTTTGGACAAATGTGTATTTAAGTCCTTTGCCCATTTTTAATTAGGTTGTTTTCTTTTTGTTGTTGCTGAATTATATGAGTTCTTTATATGTTCTGGCTACCAAACGCTTATCAGATATATGATTTGCAAATGTTTTCTAACATTCTGTAGGTTGTCTTTTCACACTCTTCATAAAGTCCTTTGATGCCCAAAAGTTTTTACAATTTTTTTGAAGTTCAGTTCATCTATTTTTCCTTCTGTTTTTCATGCTCCCAGTGTCCAATTGAAGAATCCATTGCCAAATTTGAGGTCATGAACATTCACCCCTATGTTTTCTTCTAATAGTTTTATAATTTTGATTCTTATATTTAGGTTGTTGTTGAAATTGAAGTTTAACATACCTAAAGTAAA